CCACCCCATCCAAAGTATTTCCTGCCAACGTCCAGGTGCCAGACACAACCTCGTCTTGCCCCGTCCCGTCAAGCTGGCATTTGTCAAGAAATAACTTTTACTGAAGTCATCAGTAGGTAGAAAGTGACAGTTATAGGTCTGACTTTTAGTCATTAAATAGTTTTTGTCAAAATTCATTGAGAAATGAATGTTGTTGCTAATTCTGACAGATCAGTTTGATCTAAATATACAGTCTTCCTATCCCATATTATGATTGACCACACAGACAGTATCCACTAATTTTGGCTAAGAATATGTTCATGTGTGTAAAGTCAAGGAAACTTAATAGATTAGTTTTTATATAAATGCAAAGACGATTCAGTAATTAAAACAGTGTTTTTGCTTGATTCTCCAGTAAGGTTAAAAATAAAGTCAATGTTCAGAAGGTGTTCCCTCGATACTTCAGCTTGTTGAATTTGTATCAGTTCTCCGAGGGTCGTGAACTCTTTTTCAAAAATCCTGAATGTTCTCAGAAATAAGTCCATTTTCTCCTGATGGCAAAAATGAGAAGAGATCTGGTGCCAGATCAGTAGAATACCTAATTCTGGGTGCTATACAAACTAATAAAATGTGAGTTAGAAAACTAATCTCATCAATTTATTTAAAAAACATAATTAAAAATGCTTTTCAGGTCATTATAACAACACAGGAGGTTTAAAAACTACACTTGTCGTTTATTGTGAGGACAGATCAGGTCAGGCAGGAGAGCATGATGTGCTTAGAAATACTTGTATATTATAAAATGTGAAAAACTGGGTATTTGTTTCAGACCTTTTAGCAGCATGCAACTTCATCTTGCCTACAACCAAACCCCACCAGTGGGCACTGTGTAGTCGTATGCAAAAATCCTGGACTCTTGATTAGCAGGGTGGTTTTGAGAGACGTCTCCTCACTGGAGAAGAGAAGTTGGTGGGATATGCGACTAATCCGACGCAGTGAAATATGGACGGAGCCGTCGCTGGAACTGAGGCATCCCAGACAGTCGTAGATATACAGGCCTGATCCTTAATCTGTGTTGCCATCTGCTGTGTTTGCACACAAACTGCACTTTCTGCTCTGTTTAATCTTAGTATGCAAGGCAGTAACAGGAGCATGTGGAAATCAAATCCCTGTATGAATCTCTGCCTCTGAAACAGCTGAAAACATTTTCCCTCAGACTGGAATTAAAAAGAAAAAAAAAAAAAAAACATTTGGGGAATAGAGTGCCAGGTTTTCTCCCAGCAGTGCGAGTAAAACAAAAAAAGTTTCTTGTTGGAGCTCCACTTAATATTCTATGTTCATAGCTCTCCAATAACACAGAGCTTAGATGACAGAGGAGGAAAGAGAAAGGACTATTTGATGAGGAGGTGGCAGTAGGGACCAAAGGGGGAGTTCGTAAAGAAGATAACAGGAGCAAAGGCAGTGAGTTGGCCTGGGAACAAGGGAGGAGAACTGGGATGAGCTGTTGCTAAGGGACGAGAGGAGGACATTGGGTGGACTCTGCCAGCCGGCGTGGGAGGGAGACAACGGTGGAGGGGATGAAGAGAGAGAGAGAGAGTGTGCGTTGGTGGAACAGGGGGGATCTGGGGATGAACAGAACTGTTGGTTATGTAAGAGTCGTATTTGGGTTTTAAATGAACCTCTCTCTTTCTTCCTGCATGCTGGCTGCGGAGCTGTTATAGTTGGCAGGGGAAGGGCAGCACAAACACGCAAATTCACACATGCATAAAAATTTCTCCTGTACAGAAACACACTTGAGCGCGCACACGCGCCACACACACACACACACACACACACACACACACACACCCCGCTTCTCTTTCTGAACGAAGAGTGAGAGCTCTGTTCAGACGTTCTGCAGTGATGTTTTCGCTCGGGATCGTATTTTACTTCAAGGTGAAGTCTGACACACTACACGTCTTCTTTTGGTGTGTGCCTACTCAAACTGCTTCATATTCATGTGTCATGTGACTGAGGCGAGCTTCATGTAATTAATTTTTCCAGGACTTCCCTCGTGTGAACAAAGGAAGCTCAGAGCACAGCTGTCTTTGAGGATGTGTGTGTGTGTGGGAGCACAGGTATGGGATGCTTCGGTCCAGCCCGCTCCCCACCATGTCAATATTTGCTCAGAATTCTGAGATTTGAAGAAAGGCAACTTGTTTCAATATTTATGGATGTGGTCAAAAACATGAAATCCTCCCAGTCTTCCCAAACTTTGCGACAGTGCAAACGAGCATGCGGCCTGACGGTTAAATCAAATACTGGGGTTTATTGAAAGTGGTGCACAAAGTTTATTAATATAACAGATTGAAAGCAAAGAGGTTGGTTACAGAATAAGGAGACAAACATTGATCAATTTAAAAATAAAGGCAAACGGCACAAAATATCTCACCTCACTGTTGATGGTAAATATTTCTGTTTTGCTGTGGACCAAAAAATGCGTGGTGCCACACAGCGAGGCTCTGATGGAGTCGTTTGACTCACACTGGTTTCCACTCATATGCAAATAAACCGGCAAAACTATTGTGAGGAATACTTTCTGAAATCAAACAGGCCAGAATGGTTTGCTTTGGCAGAGAAAAGAGGCATTACAGGAACATTTCCTTTTTCTGGAAAAAAAAACAAACAGCAAACACGCCAAATATGCATGCTGGATAAAAGTAAATAAACAGGTGAAACAGTGACTTCCAGTAAGGATTGGTTTCGAAATCATTTTAAAGTCCCATAGAAAAATACTTAAATATATTTATCACATCAACATATCTCAATATATTTTGTCAAATTTTTTTTTGGTAAACCAACAAAAAGTACATGAAGAAAGAAAATGACATAACATTTTCTTAAAATCTGAAAAGTCTTGCATGCATTTGTACATTATTCACTTTTAGCAACAATACCCCTAAAAAAAAAAAGCAAGTGCAGCAAATTTCCTTCCTAATTAGGAAACAGCATCCTGACAACCCAGAAAAATGGCCAATAGGTCAGAAAGGGTAGGTCGTAAACCTGTTCAGTGTCTTTACTGAAAATGTAAAGAGTATTAAAAAACTTAAAACCTGATGAAACAGCTGTCAACTCGGCAAAGGAGAGGGTTGATTTTTTTCCTTCAATGTCCCTTCTGGGGCTCCGTACAAATGCATCGATTTTATAGAAATTAACTGGAACCCAGTAACTGTGGTGCTGGTGGATTTTTTATTTTTATTTTTTTTAAACAATTATTTCTTAATTTCCCTAATGAAAAACCAGATGTGTGGACTGAAGTCATGTGACTTAGAATCAAGTTGAACTCGAGTCGCAAATATAACGATAGTGGAAAAAGTGACACAAGTGCTGCCAACGATCATTACCTATCTGTTAAAAATGTTTAGGTATTACCCAAAATTTTCAGTTGTACCAGAAATTAAATCGGTACATCCACAACAAATTTTCAAAGGTCTTTGAATTAAAACATAGTTTTGAAACGGGTCTGTATTTATTTTAGAATAGTCCAAGTTGGGTTTCTCTAACAGCCAGAGGTCCGTACTAATTATATCTACTGTAGTAGAGCATAAGGATGAAAACTGTCCAATAGATCATCTTTAAAAAAACAAAAAAAAAAAAAAAAACATTTATTAATAAATTCAACATAGAATGAATTTAAAAAGTATTATTTGCAGAACTGGTCGTCGGATATGAAATTTTAAATACTCAAATGACTCAAAATTGAAACTCTTATTGTTTGCTATATAAGACACTGACGGATGGAGGTAGAACGTCTTGTTTGGGTTCAGTTCAATCTGCCAAGATGACAAAATTACATAACCACAGGTGTTTGTGTGCATGTGTGTGTTTTTTCCTACCCCCTTGAATACACTTATACAAATAACTGTGTGTGTTATTCTGTCTAAGGCATAAAAAAACCCCCCTTCGCCCCAAAGATGACATGAAGTCCCAGAAAAAAACATGTCGCCTATTTCATCCTGAACCCATCATCACGCTTCACACGTAGCGTTTCCAGTTAGCCCTGCTGCTCATTCAGGAGAAAATGTGTTCAGGTAGTTCCTGTACTGTACAGGCCGCTCCCCTCAATTGCGGCTTGTTCGTGGTGTGTGTGTGAGGAGGTGGTGGTCGCAGTGGAGGGGAGGGGAGGGTGGCGTTACGGAGGAATGCAGAGTAGAGAGGGTAGGGAGGAGTGGGACGTTGAAGGGAAAAGAGGGGTCTCTGTTTTAGATTAGTGAGATTAAAGAAGTGTATATGAGCTTCTTGATGAAAGTGTGTTTTTATAGTGTGTTTGCTCCACTGGGGCCCTTGCCCTGCTGACACTAGACAGAAGTCAACGCAGGGCTCAAAGAAAAGTCTGATTAGTTTAATTTGTAATCTTGAATTTTTTCTTTTTACCTGTTTTAGGGGTACAACAGATTTAACTAGTGATGAAGTTTATTGAATATTTTTTCGACCGATGGAAAAACGACAGAAGTTCACAAAACGGTGGTCATTACATACTGTACTCAGCAGACAGGAAGTAGCTTGTACTTTTGAATTTGAACAGAAACTCACACACACACACACCCGTCATGCAGAACGGCGGGAACACTGCAGGCTGTGTGCGATGGCTCTCGTTCACTTCCGTCCCACAAACGTGTGTTTGCTATACGAGTGAACATGGGGAGAAAAGAGGAATTCATGTTGGTGTTTATTTGAGCTTCGGCCAAATCCAACCTGAAGCTGCAGAGCTGGCGCTCACGCTGTGCACCAAACCCCAGTTGGTCCTGCACCCCCAGCTAGACACACACACACTCACGCAGACACACACACACATAGACACACATCTCCTGCTGTACACACGTTTACCTGGACATCCTAGCCATATCAAGGTGTTTGTATTTCCTTGCCCACCATTTAGGTCCTTCCCGGGCAGGTATTTCCCTTCCTTTCCCGCACACACAACACACACACACACACGTACCCACACTGTAGCTGTGGAGAAGTGGGGGGGGTGCTGTTTGTGGGCAGAGTGTATGAAGCTCTTGCATTGATAACCTGCAGCTCAGCCTCACTCGGTCTCACTTTGTGGCTGTCCCCATCACCTGGAGCGTCCTCCGGCCCATTCTGTCTCCTTTCTGCTTCTCACTGCTGGACCGTCTGTGGCCGCGCTCGGACCCCCTGCCTTTCACCATGACGCCCACCGTGCCGCTTTTCCTGCTGCTGCTCAGCCTTATCGGAGCTCAGGCCACCTTTGATCAGCGTATGGCCGCCGCTATGGGTAAGAGTGACCTTTTAACCCCTGAAGCCTAACTCAAAACCCCAGATGAGATCCAACACTGGACTCTAATTCTGAAAAGATCTGAATCAATTTCCTTGTCGTACTTTCTCAGACTTTAAACCATGCATAATATAGTTTGAAAAAAATATTTGTGCAAAAGTGTCAAAATATCACTAACTTAGATCAATACTAAGACTATACTGAAAAATAAACCTTTTTTTCTTTTTTCATTCACATATATATGTGGGTGTTTGTGTGAATGAAAGAGTTTAACTATATAACTAAGAAAAGCTACAGAATAATCACAATTAAAAGAGAAAACAAGTTCAGTTATTGTGATTGAAATGAGATTGAATAAAATTATGTCAATATGCTGATTCTGCTGTGGTTGGTTGTGTAAATTTATCAGGGTTTCTTCAGGTTTCACTCATTTTGATTTAAGAGCTTTAGAGAATCATCGTTATTTATTTAGCCTAAGTAAGTTAACCTCATATAATTATGTTGCTTAAATACTTAAGCAAGTCAAATACAACTTTGTTTATTCAAGATGATATTTTTCCAACTCTGGCATGCAATTCACACGTAACCTACCCAATTTCTTCACCTCAGTATACAGCTTTGTAACAGATACACAGGTTTTTCACCAGCTATCAAAAATCCTGAATTACAGCCTTGGTAGATATAGACTTTATTATAAATTAGTAGTTGTAATATTAAATATTCAAATCAGTTTCAACATAAGCTGACCTATGGTACTATGAAGAAAAGTAAGTATAAAAATGTAGGCGAAAGTATTTGGGATTTAGTTCAAAGATTGAAAATCTGGATGTATTTTTTTTTTCCAAGCCTAAAATTTGGATAATACAGATTATTAAAGTTGTATAGGCAGTTTTAGTTTCTATATCCATATTTTCTGTTGGCATTTGCTCATTTAAATACTTTTGTAAATCATGTGTGGTGCTTGGAAGTTGTGGGTGACAGTTATAAAGTTTGGAAAATGTGTGAAAACAGTGTGGCACTTGAGGGTAGAGTGTATTTGTCTATTTTTAGGGTGAAAGCTTTAGATTTAAAAAATATAAATAAATAAATAAAAGCTGTAACAGAAGGAAATGTGAAAGTTGAGATTGAAAACAAGAGTGAGCCTGTGTTTAGTTTAGACCCACCCAGTATTTACTTTTGGGGTCCATTTAGATGGGAAATTGGCAGCAAAAGATTGGATTATTATATAATAGTGCCGTGTTATTTGCCTACATAGATTTGACGCTGGACAACTTTGGGTAAACAGTGGAACCCATATAAATGTGCATCTTTAGCAGAGTTTCTTAATACCCATTAGAGACAGAGTTAAGACCTACATAGAGAGTCCAATTGGCTCTTCTGGAATGGGCCGTGCTTTGTCAGCCCAAATGGACACTATGTACAAAACCCCATTGTGAGCCCAGACCCAATTAGTATTTATCCAAACCGAGCACATGTTGGCTGGAGAAAGGCCCAAAATCTCTTTGGTCGCGCTAAAAAGCTGCGTTTAATACAGAAAATCATGAATCAGCTTTTACTTCATTTTTGATCTCTAAAAGTAGATATCTTGCTGTTTTTCTGCCCAATCTTTCCTCCATTTCTGCCTCCGTCTTTCCATCTCTGAAGCCGAGTCGTCTCTGTTTCCACTCACTTCCTCATACATACATTTCGGCAGCCTCCGTCCCCTCGCCCATCCATTCTCACTGCCTTCTTTCTCCTCTCGCCTCCTCCCACAATTCTCCACCCATCTCTGCTTTTTAATCTAATAGCCCTTTATCATTAAACGCTGTAATTCTGTTTTTATTTTTCTTAGAAATATCACAAATGTAAACATATAGTACATGAAAAATAATTCTGGTTGCTTCCATGTGCAGTGGCAGGTCTGTGCAAAACCCGTCCCACGGACCTCGTGTTCATCGTAGACAGCAGTCGTAGCGTTCGCCCTTCAGAGTTTGAGCAGGTGAAGGTTTTCCTGACAAACGTCATCAACGGGCTGAACGTCGGACCCAACGCCACCCGAGTCGGAGTCGTTAATTACGCCAGCCGTGTCAAGAATGAGGTAGAGATTGGTTCCCAACAGCTTGACAGATCTTGCATAGTGTGGAAGTTGATTATTTATGAAGTATGGAAAAATGAGCGTGGAGAAGTGTTTGAGTTTCCAGACTTTAGATGTTAAGTTATCTGAAAGACACAAATCTGATTTATATTTATAAGATGGTATTTATCTTTTGCTGAATGAGCACATCAGTAAATATTTCGTTTCTTTTTTGGCTTTTGGAGTTTTATTTTTGTCCAAGTCTGGAAAAGTTAAGACACATGAAAACTGAGTTTCCAGATTGTGAAGTCTAAGCTTACGCTGGACCTAAATTGTTGATTTGGTTTAGCATTGTGCATAATTTGAAGAAAACACATATTCTCAAATGTTCATAAGGTCATAAAAATATTTACAGAAAAATCTTGATACTTGAGTCATAGAAATTTCTAAAAATGGAAATGTTGCCCTCGTCTCTCGTTGTCATTGCCGATCTGTAGGTGTCTATGAAGACTCACCGTACCAAAATTGCTCTGGTCAAGGCTGTGAGCAAAATCGAGCCTCTTTCCACTGGAACGATGACTGGATCGGCCATCCAGTTCGCCCTGAACGTGGCCTTCAGTGAGGCAGAGGGAGCTCGGGCCAAATCTCCTGATGTCAGCAAGGTCCGGCGTAGATTTAAGAACCATTCTCCAATCCTGGTGGGCTGCTTACTCATATTAAACAATTTTGCTTCCACAGGTTGCCATCATCGTGACAGACGGGCGTCCGCAGGACAACGTGAAGGACGTGGCACAGCGTGCGCGTGACGCAGGCATTGAAATTTTCTCCATCGGTGTGGGACGTGTGGACATGACCACCCTCAGGCAGATGGCCAGCGAGCCTCTGGATGACCATGTGGACTATGTGGAGAGCTACAGCGTCATTGAGAAGCTCACCAAGAAGTTTCAGGAGGCCTTCTGTGGTAAGATGAGAGAGCCACCCATGTTTACAGTAAGAGGAGGGATTAGTCAAGCACAAATGAAAGAGAAGTTAGACCGCTACTATCCGTGTCTTCATCACAGTGGAGAAGTTTCTGCTGGCCCCTTTGCACAGAGGGTAAGATGTCAGGACTATCATCTTTTATTCCAATTTATTGTGTCCTCTCTTTTGTCCTCTGCGCCTCCTCGCCAAGACTCAAATAATGGATGGGCTAATTTCACCCATTCATATCAAACCTCCTTAAAATTCCCGCTTCATGAGGACATTAGGGCAGAAACAATCTCTTGGAAGGAGATTTGCTCCTGTTCCTCTCTCAACTCTCTCATAATCGAGGAGCGAGACTGATCCATCTGTAATTACCGATTTATTAGTGACAATCATTAAAACTGAATTAGCGACGCCCTTCGGGCGGTCTCGGCCTGCGATAGTATCCAGGGCTTTGTGCTGCTCGCTCTATGGAAGCCCGTCTTATTGCAGACGTTTCTTCCAAGGGCAGAGCTGCATGACGGCACTTTTACTTCATAATGGAGACAAATGTGTACAACACAAAGAAATTAGCACAACATATTTAAAAAGTCATGCTGCGCCAGCCTTTTCCACCTATTGTTTTAAAGATCCACTGGAAATATGCATAATTTCCTTCACATGTTAAAGGGATAGTTTGTTCTTTTTGAAGTGGAGCTATGTGGTGTACATACATGAGCAGTTAATGACTGATCTGTAGCAGGCAACAATCTGTCTGGCCCCAAAAATGAATCTCCTTTAAGAGTTAGCTTAAGAGAGATGGAAAGA